CACCACTTGACCTCAGGTCCGACATCCAAGAACATGAACGAGTAGAACGGAGCGTAGTTCAGGGCCTTTGACGCTCGGTTCATGTGGTGGGCGTACAAGCCCTCAAACTCACCATCATCTCCAGAAAAATAACGCGAGCCTGATCTTTCAGCAGTGGAGGGCTGCAGACCTTCCAGCAGGATCCTGCGGAGGCAATACGGGTGTGTGCCGTGGAAGGCCACACCGGTCTCGTCGGTGTTGGCTCCAGGCAGCGGCTGCCCTTGTGGCGGAAGCGTCACCCGCAAAAAGCCTAGAAGGTGGGTCGACGGGCCCATCAACTCCTCATCCAGTCTGAGGAGCCCAGGCCGGCTTGCCAAGAAGGATGCCAAAACACGTTCCGGCTCCGGGCAGTACGACCACTTTTGCCAGCGCTGCGCCAGCTTGGCATTGACAAACCGGCCTTCGTGGTCATTCCAAGTTTCAGGAGTGCCATTTGCAGCTCGCACCGGCCTCGGATACAGCTGCGTGTGGAACCGGTCGTAGGCCCACCCACTATCGATCACCTCCAACAGGTCGGCTTTGATCTGCTCCGCAATCTCGTGTTCCACCCACATTGGCATGTCGTCGTCCGACATGGGCTCTTCTTTGACTTTTTCCAGTGAGGGCTCTTCTTTGACTTTTGCCAGTGAGGAGACCGCCTTTGCACACAGCTTCTGACTCGCTTAATTTTAACCGCCTTCAAAAAAATAGAAACAGTTACAGGAGAGGGCACAGGGGCAGTTACAACAGAGTACCCTTCTTCACTGCCTTGGACTCCTGCTGCAAAGTTCCAGCCGGGCGTACAGTAGTCGGCTGCCCCTCTCCAGCTGTTGACTCATCCTTGGATGTGAAGAGGTTTCTGGGGTTTAGGGTTCAAGTCTTCCAGGTTTTAAGTTTTAAGATGTATATAATAGGGAAATGAACATGAAGTGCTTCCCAAGCCACATGAGACACGGTCTTCTCTGCCTGGAACAAATAAATGACTGGTGTTGGTATGAGTGCTCCCCTCAACACTGAACCCTAAACCCCAAACCCGGTCTTTACTCCATGTCCGCCTCTGCAGTGCTGGCAGGCTCTTGAGCACTTCGAAGATCCGCCTCACTCTGCGAGGCCCCTGTCTCCAGCTCGGAGATTTTCTCCTGTCAGGGCTCTCAGACTCTAAGCCACCTCTAGACCCTAAACCCTAAACCCTGAACCCTAGGCTGTGCACATCCACAGTCCTGCCTTGTACTTGGCCACCTCCAAAAGAGCCTTTTCCATTCTCTCCTTGTACACATCTGCTCTGGCCGCATCCACGATCCAATGTCCCATTTGATCCTTGAGCAGATCTGCTTGCCTCGTTTCATTTTCCTGGCCAGGGTTTAGGGTTCAGGGTTCAGGGTTTAGGGCTAATGAGAAGACTGTGCATGGAAGACTTTGCATGGGGCTTGCGGGCCTTAAGAGTGGGGCCAAGGGTTTAGGGTTTACTTTGCATTGAATTGGCCTTGCCGGCCTGACAAATTTGAAGCTCAGAGATGAGCTCCTCTGCCTCCTTCAGTTTCTGGTCTTTCTCCTGACATCAGTTGGATTCGGGTTTTCTGAAGATTGCATCCAATTTATGCTTCCGATTAGTTACTTGGAGTATGGAACCGTACCTGGCCTGGTTGTCCTTCAGGAGCCTGTCGCGCTCCTCCTCGACCAGCCTGTTGCTTTCGACGCACTTCGCCCACCGATGCTCCAGGTCTTCAAGTTGCACCTGTTAGGGTCAAGCAGAGGCAACAACAAGGGACAGGGTTTCATGTACGGTTTCAGGTTTAGGACAGGAGTTGCACCCCAAACCCTGAACCCAAAACCCAAAACCCTAAACCCTAAACCTAAACCCTAAACCTGCCCGGCCTGCTGATCCGAGCACTGCTTTTGCAGTGTGTCTCTTTGCTCGGTGGTTGCGTCCAGCTGGGTTTGCAGCTTGTCCCCCTGGGCCTGCAGATCCGAGCACTGCTTCTGCAGTGTGTCTCTCTCCTCGGCAGTTGCATCCAGCTGGGTTTGCAGCGCATCCCCTTGCTGGGTGACTTCAGCCAGCTGGTCTTGCAGCGAAAGTGTTTCCTCCTGGGTGGCAGTCAGCTTTTTGCTGACGGCCCACCGCAAGTCCCTTCTTTCCTCGTTGGATGGAGTCTCCTTTTTTCGCTTGTTCTCCCTTTGCCTGCGGGTGAGCTGAGGCTCATTGTGGGATGAAGCCGGCTCTGTCGACTCTTGACTCCAACCTTGTCTGCAATCTTGATTCCAGTGTTGGTTCCAGTGTTGACTCCAACCTGGATTCCATGGGCCCGACATTGCGAGCTAGTGGCTGTAGTGGTTGGCTGGGGGGGGGGCTATGTTAAGAACAGCCTATGTAATTATTAGCTTCCTGCAACAGTATGCTCATCACGGTTGCAGTCTTGCCTGAGGTGAGGTGGCACAGGGCTTTGCTGCAAGACTACACTGACTACACCTAAGCCTTAAATCCTATGGAATGCACAAACTGGTTTCTACACTGCACCCTGGGTTTGCAATTTCTTGTACGATCGCCCCTGCGCCTTTCGGCACTGTGGCGGCCTACTCCTTGTGGCTGCTGAACATACTGCACCGAACCGTACAACTTAAACTCTAGAGCGTGAACGCAAACCATGAACTAGGCACGACTACATAAAGCTGGGGCCAAGTGTGCTGCTCGCAGAAGTGTAGGGTACGGACTGAGACTCGTTTGGGTACCCCCAACACTAAACCCCAAACCCACAACCCTCCAAACAAACTGCAGGCTTTGCGCCTCGCGGCGCAGCCTCAGAAGCCCAAACCCCAAACCCACTAAACCCGATACCCAGGAAACCAGGCATTGCGCCTCGCGGCGCAGCCTGAGAAGGCCAAACCCCAAACCCACAAAACCCGATACCCACGAAACTCGAAACAAACAACTGCAGGCTTCGATACCCAAACCGATACCCAAACCCCAAACCCACAAAACCCGATACCCACGAAACCCGAAACAAATCGATGCCCAGGCTTGGATACCCAAACCGATGCCCGAGCCCAAGCCCTAAACCTTTAGGAAGGTTCAAAGTGTTAAGGCTCTAGGAAGGTTGATTAGGAGAGTTGAATAAGAGTTAAACCTAACTCCTAAACCCTAAACCCTGGACTTGCAAAGCCTGCTAGGCCCTGGACATGATGATGGTGCGCTGGTATGCCTGGAAACAGTGGAGCACTGGCACATTTGGAGGTCCGAGACAGGGGGTAGAGGGTGGCTTGAAGGAGTGCTTAGTGACTAAGGCTTAGTGCTGAAGTTAAAGGAGTGCTTTGTGCTGAAATATGCACCTACTACTCGACATGGATGCACTAAAGGGGCTGCTTCTGGAAAGAAATGAAGGCGGGCCGTCTTAGGGCTTTGGACTTTTAGTTCCACACAGTTTACAAGAGCATTCTTGTTACACTGGATATTAGACATTGTGTTTTCTTCAGCAATTTTGGCCCCACTGCAGTCCTTGTTTGTCTGACTGTCCCAACTTGCCAATGGCCGTGGCCGGAAATGCTCAGCAGCCTCTGGTGGAACTTAACGAGCTGCCATCAGCAAGAGAGGAGCTGCACCAGTTGCTGGTTCAGCTTTACACAACGCTGTTTGAGGAGCAAAGTTTCCTGGAGTTGCTCATGGAGAGGTACCGAGCCAGCTGGACACTGGGAACGCCGATCAAGCATTGGCACCATCGGTGGATGGAATTCCACCGTGAGAACCCTGAGGCTGGAAACCGTTTCTCTCCAGGAAACTGGTTCTGGTACTTCGGCATGGTGGTCCTCCTTCCACGTGAGATGTATGGTCGTAGCGACGACAAGAATGCGGGCGATTTTACAGAAGGATTCCTGATGTTCGTCTACGATGCAGGATCCGAGTGTCGTCGCAGCCGAAAGGTTTTCTACCATTTGCGCCGCTGGGTGTTGGCTTTGAAGAAGTTCCTTGAGCTGTCTATGCCAATGGCCCAGGACATGTTCGCCTGCCAGCCGACATGGACTTGGGAGCATGTCACTGTCTTTAATGATATGCTTGCTGCCCGGGGCGTGTGAGTGCGAGGGTTGCAGTTTATTCCTGAATCAAACCACTGTGGCAGATTTCCTCAAACCTTAAGCTCTTACCCCGGAATCGATACTGCAAGCCTCGACTTGCTTTGAATACCATGAGTTTCATGGCTGAAATTTGTGTACTGATGCACACACAAAGATTCAGAAGTCCAACTCGCTTGCGAGGGAAAAAAAAGGGGCAGAGTCTGCTTGCTTGCAAGGTTCTTTCGACAGAACATGTACTGTACTGGTGGTTGAGGTTTAGGGTCTAGGGTTTGGAGGCTATTTGTTTGCTTGTTGGCGGAGCCCTCCCCGCTACACTCTCCCCCTTTACCTGCAACCTGCAAGCACTCACAAAGCGCAACCGGTTGCGCTATGTATATTCCTGAGCACACAGCCGTAAGTGTCTTCCAGGTGCTTGCAACCTGCTAGCACTCACAAAGCGCAACCGGTTGCGCTATGTATATTCCTGCAAGCACACAGCCGTAAGTGTCTTCCAGGTGCTTGCAACCTGCAAGCACTCCCAAAGCGCAACCGGTTGCGCTATGTATATTCCTGCAAGCACACAGCCGCAGCACTCTCCCCCTTTACCTTCTCCCGTAGTACCTGACCTCTCCTGTACCTCTCCCAAAGCACAAAACCCAAAACCACTTCGATGCAACACAAGCACACACACACAAGGGCAGCTGCACAGATGATGTGACTGTGAAGTGTAAACTCAGTCGACAGCTGGGCTTCAGCAGATGGTTTTGTTATTGTGGGACTTCGTTGTGGAAGCTGTGACCCTGGCAACAGGCCTCGAAGGCGAACCATCGGCCCAGGCAACCGACCTCAGCTTTTTGTGACACACCAGGGCTTCGGTCTTTGGATTCTCTGCAGACCTCTAGAACAGCGAATCTTCTTTTGCCAGGGTGTTGCAATTGTCAGCTGTGCAGTCGGTCAAAGGAGCTTGAAACGGATCCGGAGCCCTTGACCTTCAGGTGGCTCCACCAAGTGGGGAGCTCATCCACGAACTGGTTCCACTTGGAGCGGATGTGCTCTGCAGTCACCTAAGTTTAGACTTGGATTAAGTGCCTGACTGGACTTGCACAACACATGAAAACCATCAAACGAAAAATCCAAAACATGTCCGGGGCTCCGCCTCACCCTGCTCCACCTCACCCTGCTCCACGTCACCCTGCTCCACGTCACCCTGCTTGACCTCACCCTGCTCCACCTCACCCTGAAGCTCCACCTCACCCTGAAGCTCCACCTCACCCTGCTCCTGCTCAGCCGGCTGCTTTGAGGTCCGCTGCGCATCCAGCCGTGCAGGTGGCTCCGTCGGCTGTGCTTTCGTCTGCAGAGCAGTCTGAAGCATCTGAGCCGGCTGCTGCTCTGAGGTCCGCTGCGCATCCAGCCAAGGTGCAGGTGGCTCCGTCGGCTTTGCTTTTGACTTCAGAGCAGACCGCGGGTCCATGGCAGCTCGTGTTTCGGTGACCTAGTGTGTCAGTTTTTTTGGCTGCACCTGTACATAGAAGCCCTTCAGTGGAATTCCTCTCCTTTAAGATTTCTCTATTGCACCTATACTGCTTGTGTTTCGGTGACCCACTGTATGAGCCCTGCACTCGAGCCTCAACGGTTTCAGAGGGTCACTGGCAGAGTGGCACTTGTGCGCTGACAACAAACATCAAGATCAGAGTCAGCCAGCTCACAGTCAGAAAGCAAAGCTTCTTTGCTATCACTTGTGCTTGCGAGCATTTGGTGAAACAGTGAAGGTCGCACTGCCTTCCAAACATGATCGACGCAACGATGGGCCGACTCACAAAGCTCTGGAACACAAGAACTCCAAGAAGATCACTGGTAAGTATTCCAAGACCGCACAAGTAGCCACAATCATCCCACATCATCCTGGTGTTCCTGGGAGATCAACGGCGCTTCAGTGGGTTTAGAGGTTTAGCAAAGTAAGGGTATGGAGTCCGAGTGCATCCCAAGCCACTCAATCTGAATCCTCGGGCTCCTTGTCGGGTGTTACAACCGTGGTGGGCGATTGCGACTCTGCAGCAGACGAGGCGGCAGCTTGCAAGGCGGCAGCTTGT